CTACATGGGATTAGTTTTCAATTAAGGTTTAATTGAAAATGTATCAACTGTGTTATTTTTTAATGTGGGGTAGCCAGTATAAATGTAAACCAGTTATTTATCTCAGTGACGTAGCAAATTGCTGTAACAGTGGATCTCCTCCTGATCTTGGTCTATTAATATGGCTCCAGTAAAAAGAATAAATAATTAGCAAGTATCGCTGCTTTATGTTGTCAGTTCCAGCTTCTTCCATCTGGTTCATTGTTCAGACTTCTACCACCGATGCAAATGCAGATCTAAGAAACTTGTTACATATTTTATTTATCTATAAAGAGAAAGTCTTGAACATATAGAGGTGGTCCAGGAATCATCTACATGTAAACTAACGCGCCTTTAATGGAACAACTAAGCACATATTGATTAGCATTAATCGCTTCATCAGATTTCTGACTGGAACAATTAATATAATTATGATTAAAGTCTGCAAAGGTCAGAAAGTTTCCTCTGCTCTCCATTAGATGCAATAAGGACCATATTCCCTGTTCCATCCAATCTTTGTAAATAAATATTTATTTTTAAATCAGATTATATCTACTGCTCCATAAGGGCGCATTATGAGGGGAGAAATTATGTGTAAAGATTATTTTCCAATAATAGAGAACTCATTCATGAAATGTGGATAACTGAACTGGTCATTTATCCAAATTGCATTTCAGTAAAAACTTAATGCCGACAAATTTGGAGAGAATTTAGCAGTGAGATTATGACTAAAGTTATGAAGCTGATGGATCACATTTTGCAGCCATCTTAGTTTTATGGCTCTGTTGACTGAATCAAACCCCTTCTACAGATTTAATAATATTTTTTTTTCCTAATCTATAGAAATATGTCGCTCAAAATGAAATAAAAATTATTCTAATTGATTAACTTAATGATCTGAGGTATAATGAAGGAGTACGGTAAATAATCCTAGAGAGATCTTCCATTTTAGACCAGAGGATTCTACCCAGAGTTAACAGGTCTGTTTGTTACCAAATATCTAAGTTAGATTTGCTTGTTATGTATAATTACCAAAATGACTTATTTATCTATACTCTACATATATGACATGGTAATTGGTCTTAAATTGTCACCATATGTTTTATCCTTACCATTTTTTGCAATCAGTGTAATTAGTTCCTGGTTCATGCTGTTTATTTATGATTTTATCAATAAATCCCTGAATGGAAAGAAAACGTGGTTTTTGATATCATCCCAGAAAAATGGATAAGAGTTAAAAGACAGACCATCCTGTCCTGGTGAGAGTTTAACAGCAAGAGTTTAAACATCTCAATTTTAGAGTCGCACAATTCTTTAAATTCTTCTCTAATTAAAGATAAATCATTTTTATGCTCCACCCCTGGTTCCTACCTATCCGGTGTAAGATGATCTGGGGGATCCTGGTGAAATCCAGCAGTCTGTGCTGATCATCCATCTTCTCCTCCTCGATCTGATCTAATCTTCCTTTAAACTCTGGGAATGTTTCTCCAGCAGGAGTTAACTGCTCGCTGACAAACTCTCCTTCCAGCTGGACTCAACACATTCTCACTGCAAACACTCACACATTAGCAGTGAGAAAGTGTAGAGTCCAGCTGGAAGGAGAGTTTGTCAGCGAGCAGTTAACTCCTGCTGGAGAAACATTCCCAGAGTTTAAAGGAAGATTAGATCAGATCGAGGAGGAGAAGATGGATGATCAGCACAGACTGCTGGATTTCACCAGGATCCCCCAGATCATCTTACACCGGATA